CCCTCCCTCCCTCCCTCCCTCCCCTCCCCCTCCCCCTCCCCCTCCCCCTCCCCCTCCCCCTCCCCCTCCCCCTCCTCCCTCCTCCCTCCTCCTCCTCCTCCTATCTCACAGGACAAGCTGTCCTCCCTGCTCCTGGATGAGCTTGGCTCCCCGCACCGACGTGATCTTGATCTCGATCTCCTTCTCCTTCTTCGTCGTCAGCACATGCATGTCGAAATCCTCGCTGTAGAGCATCTGCTCCAAGTGAATCGGATCCGCCGCTGTCGGCGTGACCTGCCATGCTCCTTCTCAGCTCCTCCTCCCCGTCTCGCCTCCCATCCCGCCATACCGAGCTCATGCTGTAACTCCTCGTCAGCCTCTTTTGGTATCTCCTTGCCTCCGACGCCGCATGCTGCTCTACCTGCGGCTCCTCCTTCGCCGATCCCCTGCCCAGCCTCCATGTCAAACAAGACGCCTCGTGCGCAATCTCCGCCCTCACCCTCGGAGAGGAGCGAAGGGAGGAAGACGAAGTCCGGCCATGGAGGTTCCATGCGGCGTTTGGTACAGGCATGACGCGGCTTGAAGCTGCAGCGCAAGCGCCTAGAGGACAGCGTTAGAGGAGCAGGACGAGGCATCTCATCAGAGGATTTACAACCTTCCCATCAGTATTCCATCACCCTCCTCTCCCTCCCTTGCCTTGTTTGTATCCTTCCCTTCCCGTTCCTCCCCATTCCTTCCCTCTCCTCCTCCGCCTCCACCTCAGCCTCTCACTCCTACTCATCGTCTCCACCATCACCACACCATCATCATCCTCCTCCTCTTCCTCCTCCTCCTCCTCACCTCCTCCCCCGCCTCCTCCTCTTACCAGCAGCATCGCCGGTTTGCCCGCCATCTTTCCGAACGTAGCAGGGGCAACCTGATTGGCCGAGCAGGGAAGCAGCGGGGGATACAAAAAGTGGAAGGGGGGTAGGGTACCATAGAAATTGTGGGGTGGGGGTGATATCTTACAGGTGAATAGGGGTGAAAGTAATATAGAATTGGACGGGTAATCAGAACAACAAGGGATCCAGAGGGTGGGTCATGGCACACACAGGATACATTGGCAGGGAAATGTGGGGGTGCTGTGGATAAGGGGTGGGTCAATGGATGGGGTGGGTCCTTTCAGTAGCTCCCCCGGAAGATCTAAGGCGGGTATTTAAAAACTATTTGTAGTTAATTTTAAGTTTATTATAAATGTGAAATAAGTACACATATTCATACCAGTTAAATGCAAAATTGATAGAACACACCTTTTTCATATACTAAAATTTGTATATAAAAATATTAGATAATATTATAATTGGTAGCAATTTACAAGTGTAGATTGGGATACTAAAAGTCTTAAAAGTACCCTAACTAGGACGCTCTACTAATATGGCGCCGCTCCTCCTCCTCCTCCTCCTCGTTGGGGGATCCTCTGCCTTCGTTGTTACCCCCTCCTCCTCCTCCCTCTCCTCTTCCTCCCTCTTCATCTCTCCGTCTCCCTCCCTTGTGTCCTCCAGGCTGACCCCATGGCGGACGACGACCCGAAGCTCATCCGGCCTCGGATCCCTTGCTTGCTCGGGGAGGGACGAGAGAGTTCCGGGATGGGTGCATGAGGCAGCTCCTGCGAGGAGAGGCTGGGGATCGTCTGTGCTACTACTCTCAGGGAGAGTCAGGTCCGCTACTCCCTTGATCTCCCTGCTCCCTTACCTTCACTCCCTAATGCGCTCTTCGTTGACTGTCCTCTTTTCCAGGGCGAGATTCTCCCGCACAAGCATGCAGAGCAGTGGCAGCGGGGACAGGAAGTTTGCCGTGGGCGATGCTGTTGAGGCGCAGTGGATAGGAGACGATTCGTGGTACGCCGGGACGATCGAGGGGCTATGGTCGGAGGGGCGGTACGACGTGAAGTGGGCAGACCCGCAGGGAATGGCAGATTGCCAGGCGACGAGCGAGGAGAACATCCGATCGTTCCCCGTGAAGAGCTACTACATGTTCGGGCTGAACTCGCTGGAGCAGGGAGACTACGAGAGTGCATACTTGGCCTTCAGGTGTATCTACATTTGTATGGGGAAGTTCGCGGATACGGAGAGGTACCTGGACGAATTGCTCGCTATTCCTTCCATCCAAGAGCTTGCTCAGTCCCGGAACGATGCGAACTTGATGAAGGAGAGGGAGAGCAGGAAGAAGGCAGGGCAGGCAGGGAGTGTGGAGGAGGAGGAGAAGGCGCCGATGTACTCAGAGGATGAGCTGGAAGGGTTGAGGCAGGAGGCGAAGCAAAATGCTGTGTTGCAGAACATGTGGGGTCAGTACAACACGTTTGTGAACTACCAAGTTGGAAGTTGGCACGGAAGGTGGAAGGAGTACGACGTGAAGGGGGTAAGCGATGGTTGAACGTTTTCCTCCTCCTTGGTCTCGGAACTTCGCTTCTCTTCCCATCCTCTTGACTCTTTCTCCTCCGCTTCATCATCATCATCATCCTCCTCCTCCTCATCATCATCATCATCATCATCATCATCATCATCATCATCATCATCATCATCATCATCATCCACTTGTAAATTCGCATGCTGCTTTCCCCCTTGTGCTGTTCGATGCGCGACTGACCAGCATTTCGTAGTCTCAGGTGCAAGAAGGACGTGAAGTGAGGAGGAGTGAAGTTTTGACGGCCTCCAACGAGGGTCCTGCTCCCTCCTTCAGCCGCGAGATTGTTGGTGTCAACGAGCAGGGAGGGACGGGGGAGTCGACCAGGAGCGCTGGCTCGTTCTATCCCTCCTCCCTCGCCTCCTGGTTCGTCGGCAACGCCTTCACCTTCTCGAGAACGAGCGAGCAGGGAGGAAACGATCTGCTGGACCTTCAGGTGGGGCTGCGGCATGAGGACATGAAAGCTTCTTGCATCTTCTCCTACCAGAGGAGGAAGGAGGAGGAGGGGACTTGGGAGCTGGTGCGCATGTCGGTGGGGAGGGAGAAACTTGGGTCGATGCCCAAAGGAGACGAGTACGTTCTGTTCAGGGAGGAGAAGGGGAGGATGGAGGACGGGGCTGAGCTCAGCGGTCCTGCGGACAGGTTGAGCACGAACTACACCCCGATGCCGGGGAAGGAAGGCGTGATGACGGTGGAGGCGGAGGGAGGGATCGCAGTACAAGGACCAGCTGTGCTGTCGGAGAAGGATGGAGAGAGGAGGGAGGTTGTGATCTCGTGGTCGACACCCTCGACGGAGGTGAGGAGGAGGAAGAGCAAGAGGAGAGGGAGGAGGAGGGAGAGGAGGAGGAGAAGGAGGAGGAGGAGAAGGAGGAGGAGAGGGTGAGAGAGAAGAGGACGGAGAAGGAAGGGAAAGAGCGTTAAGTGCGAGATAGGGAGGGACAGAAGGGCAGAGAAGGTAGGAGGATGGGGAGTTCAGTGGTGGGTAGCAGGAGCAGGGAGCAAGCGCAAGGAGCAAGGATATCAGGTCGAGGGAAGAGGGGCGGCAGGAGCAGGAGCAGGAGCAGGAGCAGGAGCAGGAGCAGGAGCAGGAGCAGGAGCAGGAGCAGGAGCAGGAGCAGGAGCAGGAGCAGGAGCAGGAGCAGGAGCAGGAGCAGGAGCAGGAGCAGGAGCAGGAGCAGGTCGAGGGAGGAGAATGACGAGGAGGGGGAGGGAGGAGTGACTCTGGTATCGCAGGGAATCGCATGGGACGGGAAGGATAGGATCATCCCAGCTCTCAAGTATCGCTGTGCTCGGGTGTTCAAGGGGGCGTCGGATGAGCTGGAGCTGCTGTCAGTGACGGAGACAAGGGGTTGAGGAGGAGGAGGAGGGAGGAGGAGGAGGAGGAGGAGGAGGAGCGTCTGGTAGTATGACAGAGCAGGAGAGAATGAAGAGAGATGGGAATGAAGAAGAAAGAGACGATGGTGGCGGCGGGTGATGAACATGATGATAATGTACACGACGATGACGATGATGACGATGACGCTGATTGAGATGATGATAATGATAATGATGATGATGATGTACATGATGATGATTGAGATGGAGATGGTTGAGATGATGACGATGATGTACATGATGTGCATAGTGATAACGTACATAATGATGATGATGATGATGATTGACATGTACAAGATTTCTCTCTTTTCTTCATCATTTCTTCTCGTCGCATCACAAGCTGCTTCACCTCGCCTCCACGATCTTGACTGAAATCATTCTCTCGCGATTTGAATTCTTCTCTTTCATAATTTTATTTCTTGTCCCATATTTTCAATTTCTCTAGCCTTTTCCGATCCCTTCCTTTCACCTCCCGTACATGAGTTGTCTTGACCCTGGTAGACTCACAAGAGGCTCGTCGACTAGAACTTGACCAGTCAAACTTCTCTTGACCTGACAAACAATAGTAAGAGAGATCAAAACCACTATCAATCATCATCATCATTCAATCATCATCATCTCCATCATCATCATCACCATCATCATCATCATCATCATTCAATCATCATCATCTCCATCACCATCATCTCCATCATCATCATCATCATCTCCACCATCTCCAACACATCTCCATCATCATCATCATCACCACCATCTCCATCATCATCATCATCATCATCATCATTCAATCATCATCATCTCCATCATCATCATCATCTCCATCATCTCCATCATCATCATCATCATCTCCACCACCACCACCACCACCACCATGTATCCCACCTTCAGGTTCGGCCCAATCAAATAGGCAACAACAGCTCCTCCGATGGCTCCGCCTGCCGACAATCAAATCAGCGAGAAGGAAATGGAGGAGGAGGAGACGAGGACGAAAACGGGAACGAGGAGATTTCGAGAGGAGGGAGACTAGGAGGAAAAGGACGAGGAAGAGGAACAAGAGGCTAGAGGGGTGGAGAGGAACGAGACGGAGAAGAAGAAGACAGGCAGGCAGGCAGGCAGGCAGGCAGGCAGACAGACAGACAGACAGACAGGCAGGTAGGTAGACAGACAGACAGACAGGCAGGCAGACAGACAGACAGACATGGATAGAAATAACAGCAGTCAAACTCTCCTCTCAACCATCGAACAAGTGAGTCAGACACATAGCACAACACAACGAGCATGTCAAACTTCACCGATGTGCCCCCAGTTGTCTATGTTGCTTCCTGGAGCGAGCCCGATAATAAGGTTGAGAATCTGGTAAAAGTTGAGAATGGAATGAAGGTTGAAGACAAGGACGGGCGTCGGAGATACATCAGCAGCGCTAGCAGGAGTGAGGAGGTGGTGGTGCATTAGTGGGAAGAGAGGGAGGGGAGGAGAGGAGGGGAGGAGAGCAGGAGGGGAGAGGGGAGGGAGGGGAGGATGGGGAGAGGGGAGGAGGAGTGGGAGGGGAGGAAGGGAGGGGAGGAGAGAGGGAGAGGGAGGGAGAGGGAGAGGGAGGAACGAGCGAGCAGAGGATGAGGGAGAGGCAAGGGAGGTGAAGAGGAGGATATATTGTTGAGGTGGAAACTTTGCACTCACGCATGTCTGTATGATGCCATTGAGCATGTAGCGCGATCGATCACCAAAGATGTCCTGATGCCTGAAAGAAAAATGAACATGAAGGGAACGGACATGAGAAAGAAAGGACAAGAGGGAGAGAGAAAGAAACTGTGCTCATGTTCTCCTCTCACCCCTCCCCTCCTCTCCTCTCCTCTCCTCTCCTCTCCTCTACTCACCCCTTCCCTCCTCTCCTCTCCTCTCTCCTCCTGACCTCTTCTGCCCCCTCCCCTCCTCTCCTCTCCTCTCCCCTCCCCTCCATTCCTCTCCTCTCCCCTCCCTCCTGAACTCTCCCCTCCCCTCCCCTCCCCTCCCCTCCTCTTCTTCTCTCCTCTCACACCTTGCAAGAAAGACTCCCAATGCTCCGACTAATCCGAAGATTGCACCCGATGCTCCGACACTCGGAATGAGCTGTGGGGACGTCAGATCGGCCAGACAGGACACAACCGGACAGGACAGGACAGGAGGGAAGAGAGAGGAGAGAAAGGGGAAATACGAGACGAGAGGAGAGGAGAGGAGAGGAGAGGAGAGGAGAGGAGAGGAGAGGAGAGGAGAGGAGAGGAGAGGAGAGGAGAGGAGAGAGGAGAGTAGAGAGAGAGAGAGAGAGAGAGAGAGAGAGAGAGAGAGAGAGAGAGAGAGAGAGAGAGAGAGAGAGAGAGAGAGAGAGAGAGAGAGAGAGAGAGAGAGAGAGAGAGAGAGAGAGAGAGAGAGAGAGAGAGAGAGAGAGAGAGAGAGAGAGAGAGAGAGAGAGAGAGAGAGAGAGAGAGAGAGAGAGAGAGAGAGAGAGAGAGAGAGAGAGAGAGAGAGAGAGAGAGAGAGAGAGAAAGAGGATAGGAGAAAGAGGATAGGAGAAAGAGGATAGGAGAACTGGTGCACCTCTTTGCGGGTCTTGTCCTGCTT